GGAATGATGTAAACAGAAGGTTTCCTTCCTTTCAGGTTTTCAGTATAATCTTTCTCTCGGAGATGTTTTGTGGAATCCACATGCTGTGAGAGCAGAACTTGAATCCAGGTTTGGTTTTGATGCTCTTCATGTTGAGAAGCTGCTAAGGTATACAGCACAATTAACAAAGGTAAATCACTTGAAAATTTCACTATCACTCTCATCTTTGGGTTTTTTTTGTACCCTGAAGGGATTTTTCATGCCTTACAGAAGCTATAGTCATATCTTCCATTTGTGATCTAAACTACAACACTGCTAAATATCCTGACTTAATTCCCATCAAAATAAATGTATTTAGCTTCAGCTGAAATTTCTGCACATGAAGATGCTGATAGGTCTAGTCATGCACATTAATTAATGTGTGCTTCTCTGAAGTCGCCACTGAGTATGGCAAAGTCCTGAGTTTATCATCCGGTCCTGTGAAGAATTCTGGGGTTTGCTCCACAAAGTTTTTAAACTAAATCCTAGACTTGAAGCTGCTTGGATTAATTTGGCAGGTAGCATTTTTGATCTGATTTTCTGGACAAAGAATGCCTGTTTCTTCTGTGTGTAAATTAAGAGACATCAAGAGTCTTTTCTTCTCAGTCTTGATATATATACACTTCTTATCTCAGTGGCGCTATTCAAATATACAGGTGATGTGTCAAATTTTGAAGAAAATCTCTTTTCTCAGAGTGTTTTCTAACCTATTTTCTAGACTGAAGTGTTGTGATGGTCTGGTTTGAACTGCAGAAAACTTGAAATGTCTTTTGAATTTCTAATAAAGTCCACAGTTTTTGAATAGAACATGTTGGTATTTATCTGACATGTTTGTTCTTTGCCAGGTACCTTCCAGAGTTGTACTCCAGAAGAGCTCATTATAAAAATAGCTGATTTACACAAAGCGATAACTTCTAAAAAAGCTTGTCTTTTTCATGGCCTTTTAATGAAATATCAGTGATGGCCAGTTTGATCAACTGAACTGAATTCATCTTGAGCCTGGTAGTTATGGTTGCCTGTGTAATCCCAGGCAACTAATTTGATAGCTATTTAAACAAATATCTTGATATTCTCTGCTTGCGTTAGGGAATTGAAACCCTCAAAATGTATGAAGGGAAATACGGAAGCCTGGACCATGTCTGTTCCGAGCGCTTCAATTCTGTGTCTAATGCCTCAGCTTGTTTAGTGTCAAAGCATCTGCAAAAATTTTAATAAATCTTCTAGTTACAGTTGAAAGGAGTTAGGATGTAAAGTATTAACAGGGAGAATCACAATGTGCTAAATTAGTTTTGTGTGCTTTAATAATATTTATATGATTAGGAATAACAAATCTTTCAATATGGAATTTAGAAGTCAGGTGATGAGGAAAAAATTCTGGCCTCTTGGCCACACTGCTGAAATCCTTCAACTTCAATTTAAAACTAGTCTGCTGCATGTAATCATTGGTTGAGATACATCATTGTACTGAATGCTTTTTACATCAGTAATTTTTATATTTGTGAAGTTGCTTCAATATAGTTATTCTAGTGTAGGCATCTAGTTCATCATCAGTCTGCAAATGACTGTAGAAATAGCAACACTGGTGTAGCTACATGGTGAAAATTCCTTGCATATACAAGTCTCATCGTTCTGCCTGCTGTATGACTACCCTAATGGGACCACTGGTATTTCATACAGCATTCTGCATGTGGAGTACTTGGAAGTATGTCCCCCAGAATATGAGACTGGATTAAATGGGCTTTGTTCTCACTGAAGTGTGATATTCTTTTTTTTTAGCAGATAAGTAAGTTGATAGCAGAGATAACACTCAGCAGCTCTCTTGAGATGTTCATCAACTTCTTATGTCCCTGCCAGATTCCCACAGGAGAGACACTGGAGCAGTTTGTGTGCTCTGCTCTGTCAAGTGTGCCAGAAGATGAAGCAAACAAAGAGAATAATGAAGATGACTGTATTTCTGCATGGCATGAGGCCAAACTGTATCTTGTTCATGCTGTCAGCAAGCTCAGACTCTATGCACAGGTACAGTTTAATAAATCAATAGATTAAATTCCTAATTTTTGCATGTAGGCTGTCAACAGGAACTCAGTTAAAAGATCTGGGTTATCTATTAAATGTTACTGTCATGAACTTTTTTCATCTTGCTAATATGACAAAGTAATCCTTATAAAGAATTGTTACAATGGGAGTATAATATATCACCATGTAGCCACTTAATCAGATTTTCTCATTAACTCAAATACAGAGTTGAAATCTAGTAGGGAATATAGTGAAATATACTGCACTGCAGAGCTCTGACAGAAGCAAGACCCATTTACTGTCCCACATGAGCCTGAATTTTGGGCAAAACTGAAAGCAGACTATACGCCTCCACAGATACAGTATATAATGAATTTATTTTTAATTCCCCTCCACTATCTCTGGCAATAGTGGCTGAAGCATGTTGAAAGGGATGAGAGTAAATCTGCAATATAACATCTTAAAATTCTACTCTGGCAGAACAGCTTGGCATGCAGTCTCTATGATGACATACGTGTAATTGCATGGAGAAAAGGAGAAACCATTCAGATGTTTCTTAAGGAAAACACTTCCCTATCTTAGCACCGGTGTTTGTTTTTCCACTGAAATTTTTTTTTTTCCCCATAAAAATCTATCAGCTGTGTGTCAAGATGCTCTGGAGTTGTTTGCAATATCATTTAAAAAAAGCATGTAGAGCTTACTGTGTATTTCTTCAAAAATGTAGCCTTTGTTTTCCCTTTTGATAAAGTTTTCAATGATGTTTGATGGCTTGAAGGAATAATTGAATGTAATGCACTAATTCCTATTGTATCTATAGGAAAATCCAGTAATAATTTTAGCCATGATTTTAAAACTCTTTGCAAGAGCTGACATCCTTATGATGGCAACTTGAAGTACTGTAAGCTGCTGGCCACTGGGAATTCCCTTGGTGAACAGGACATCTCTTAGAGTAAAAATCTGTTATAACCACTTGGCATTAAAAAAAACGTGATGGTGGAGAAAAGGAGAGCAGTCAGTAGGTTTGGCCAGGCCTTGGTGTACCTTATTCTAGGCTATATAATGGGAGCATGCAAGCTCCTTCCCCGTCTCTTTGTGTAATGGCACCCCAAAAATGTTGAGGCTGCTGCCTTATGTTGTGTGGATAGTGTAGGTAGAAGTCCTGTAAGGGAAAGCAAGCCTGAGTAATTGAATATGGAAGTCTGCCTTTGGTTGGTTTCAGTCTCAGGCCATTTTTTTACCATTCCTGGGTCTTTGGGCAAGGACAGCACAACATGGGATCTTAGTTCTCTGTATGATGTAGCATGTTATATTGTCAACTTGCAGGTCAGTCCAAACTGTATTGAAAATCAACCTTTGTGAAGCCAGTCATTTCAGACTCTAGGCACAGTGTTAGGGAGAAATGTTACTATCATTGTTAATTATGTTTGGGTTTTTTTTAAGCTGTGCAAATTCTGTGTATTGTCTAAATAAGAAAGCTTTGATTCTCTAACAAGGTGCGTTCTGTTTTGTGTTCAATCTGCTAGGTATTTGAGCAATGGTTCAGCA